GTTGTCACTTTGTGGGGGTGAAAAGTATAACTATTGCATTGTTTTTTAAACTAATAATAAAATAAAAAATTAAATAAAAATAAATTTAAAAACAATTTAAAAAGAAATACAGAACAGACACAGTGCTGTTGTTGAAATCATTTCCTAAATTTTCCCTTCAGAAAAAATCTTTGGTCAAACAAAATCTCACATATCCACAAGCCATACATCCATTCCATTCTGTTTCATTCTATTGCAGTCAGTGTTGACGGGTCAGGTCACTCCATAGAGTGATGCTGGCTGCTTGGCCAAGACACAAAAATGTATTAGGCAGAGCTTCAACTTCTAATTCATCCATTGACTAGAGCGTATTGGTGAGTCCAGTGATTTCAATAAAGACAAATCAAGAGACCAAAGCCACAGTCCTAAAGAATAATGTGATCACGTTGCTGGGGTCTGGATAGCTCACAGAAAAGAAAGTACCTGAGGGTTCGCAGATAGGTGCTGATTTCCACCAAGCTCATGTCTGTTACCTGAGCGCAGGAGCTGAGGACCAGACTGTCCAGTTTAGGACACTGCATCACAATAAGATGGATGATCTGATTGCTCATCTACAGAAGGAAACAAGTAAGAACTTATTTTCAATCACAGGGCTCTCTGCACAGAGAAAACAGGGCAATGAATCAAGTGTATCAGAAATTAAAATGTGCATACTTTCAGATGTGTTATAGTCATCATCAGCAACAACATAGTATTAACAGTTCTCATTTGAGGACTGTCAAAGGTATGTCAGGTTCCAAGCTATAAACTTTATATGCACTAATTCTAGTCCTTGCAATAGTCCTACAAAAACCAATGTTAATATCCCTACTTTATAACTAAAGAAACTGGGTCTGGGAGTTAAATGTCTTTCTGAGGCTGCCCCTAAGTAAATGGCAAGGCTGACAAATTTAGGACTGATGGTTCCAAAGCCCATATTTTTTCCAAAGCCCTGTCAGTTGAGAACTAAACTAATAAGAGTCAGTCATCTTGATGCAAGCTCCCAGGTTCTTCATTAATAAAATCAGAAAGTGAGAGAGACTTTGATAAACTAATGATATGAAATGGAATCTGTTATAAGATTCTAAAATGAATGTTAAGTTTAAGCCTAGTATGTTGAGTTTTAAATTATTATTAGGATAAAATGAGTTATGAAACACTAAAATTGAGGATCAAAATGCACCAAACTGGAGCCTAATAAACACAGGAAAGTAAAATCTAACTTTTGATTAACCCCAAGATTTTATGTGATTTTTCTGCTTATTTTAACTACTGCTCATGTTTTTTTAACTATCATGTTAATGAGTACTTAGTACTCTATTAATAGGAAGATTTTATTCTTCTCCCTGATACCATCATTACCATAAAAAAATCACTAATAATCACATAATTGCAACTGAGATGGTGCTACGCACTGCACACAGACCTTGATTTTCCCTCTCATAATTTATAATATAGCAGAATTTTAGAAGTCCTATTCCTTTATACACAAATAAATATACACACCCACAAAGAAGTAAAATCAAGTCCTACAGCCTTCACCCACTCAATCTGTATCAGGCCATTTCTGTCTTTGCATATATCTGTATCTATCTATGTTCTATCTATTCATCTATTTACGTATCATGTATTATAATTATGCTGTAGTATTTATTTCCTTAACCCGTTGTAGTCTGATTTAAGTGCACATATACATTGATGCTCTCTATGTAAGTGAGTACAAAAGCCCACTTTTCAATCTTTGAACTCCATCTGGACCACAAGGGCTCCAGTCTCAAGAGCAAAGAGAGTATAACCTTCTTCCATGGTGACTCTTCTTAAGAGTTTACTAAAAAGCTTGACAATCAGAGAACATCATAAAGGGTCTTTGATTTCCTGGGATATAAAAGATGGAAAAATCACAGGAGAGATCCTGTCCAGGATACCATGTTATGCTAAATTATTTTCTCATACATTTAGGTGACCCACACTTTCAGGAAACCTTATGTATGAGAAAGTCAAACTTAGAGAGAAGACAAATTAGGAAGTACATATTCATTTTTAAATAATTCCAGGCAAAGTTCCAAAATATAACAAGCCCTCACTATGCATTCAAAATCAGATTTGATTCAATACATTCTAAGTATTGAATTTACACAAATTTTCCTAATCAAAATATGTGTCAAATTTTAATTGACACATAATTTACTGTAATATAGCTTTTGTAGCCTGGTCGCAGCCCAGCCATTAAGTTAACATAAATTTACGGAGCATGGACCACATGCCAGGAACTGTGGTTTACTTCTTGATCAACACCTACAGCCCAAAGACCTTCTGGAGCTGGGCTCCAAATCTGTGCTCTTGTCTGTCTCTTTTAGTTCCAGAATCTACAGAATCACCATTTGAATGTAGAAATCAGGGTCATGAAGTGCTTATCCCATTTTGTACTTAGATTAACTAAGGAACCTCAAATATTATAGTGATACAGCATTTATTGAACGAGACTCAAATAATTTAAGTAACAGGCTCTGCCCTTGTACAACATCCATCATCTTATTTAGGATATCAAGTAATCCAACATGGCACACGTATGCTGATTGGAAAGCTCTTCATGGATTAGAAGTGAATGCCTAGAAATTGAGTAAGCTATTGTTGCTATGTGAGTTCGCTGTTTTGAGTTCAAAGAGACTAAGAATGAGAAATTATTTCTTTCCCGAATTTTGAGTTTGTAAAAGACTTCCCCAAAAACATCGAAATACATCATCAAGCAAGCTACGAACAGACTGTCAATTTTTAATGGAGAGTTTCTTTCATTGTGATTAAAAATAAAAAGAAATACGGTATTTTCCTTCCCTCATTACTTCATTCAGAGCAGTGCTCAAGGCAAGAGCACTTCAGAGCCTAAGATGAGCTATAAAAGAGGAAAACGAGCACATAAAATTTATAATTCAATTGCTTACATCAGAACATTCTTTCACTGGCTTCCAATCAACCATTATCAAAAAGCATGATGACAATCTGTTCTCAGAAAGTACCGTACTACAAGTTCACAGAATTGCAATCAGCATTCAATTTGTGAAAATCAGCCTGTCCCGTGGCCACGTCATATTTTGCTAACCATATGTGAAGGAAAAAATCAAACTCCCTTCTCCTTCCACACAGAAGGAAATCAGTGGGAAGGGGGTGGAAGGGAATCAGCAGATCTGGGTCCAGGCTTACCAGCTTTGTGACCTGTACTGTATTTTTCCAACTCCTAGAATCTCCATGATTCTACCTATAAATTAGGGACAATGCTACTTCTCACACAGGAAAGATGGCAAGCTAATGAATTAATGTGTGTAACAAGTGCCATGTACGGTTCCTGGAACATGGGAGGGGCTCACTAAATGATAGATATTATCATTATCTCTTCTTTGTTCAATACTTTTATTAAATTACCATAAATATTATTTGAGTTACAAAAACAGCAAAAGATCCAGTTAATGGCTTGGCTTTTAGAGCTATTACCTACTTCAGAACTACATAGCACTCTTTCCTTAGGGAGATCATAGTTGTTCTTCCAGTTTCAAATATTTCTTTCGAATAGAAGATATAATCTCAGGTCCAAATCTTTTCTATCACACAAGTACTATGGGATTCTTTCTCCCTTAAATGCCCATTTCATTTCAAAGCATTACTTCATGATGAGGCAGGAAAGCCACGGAAACATTATTCATTTTATGCTCTGAAAACATAGAAACATGGAACCCAATTTAAGACTCAGTCTGAATCCAAGGAGTCTCACCATTTTGAGGCCAGCAACATTCAGCGCAGTTACTTCTTGTAAGTTCTCCAGGCCTCTGAGCAGGCAGGCCTCAGAAACCTTGGGGACTCTCCCAATGTTGAGGTTCTGCAGGTGTGGACACTGCAGGACCAGGGTACCTATACTCCTGGAGGTAAGAGCAAGGCAGCCAAATACTTCTATTTTGTGGAGACTGAGATAGGGGGAAAAAAAATCAGTACAATATCACACTCTGCACAAGAGCAAATCCCTAAACCACCTGAGTGACATTTTTAGTTTTTCATGGTGGAAAGTCTGCATTTTAATATCACATTTGAGAAGTGAATATATAGTGCTGACAACATGAAACAAGTTGGTGAATTTAATCAATAGATGAATAAAATTCAGTAAGCATGGTGTCCAACATGGCAAATGTAAGCCATGTTGATTTTCCTTATTCATGATGGTTATGTTCTATAACTACAAACACTGGATTAGCATATACTCAATCATTGCTCCTGGGGAAATACAGGGTTAAGTTCCCGATAGCCCCAGATATCAAAACATCAGAATAAAAGGCATGCTTAATACACACCTCAGTGGCCCATTCCTCTGGCTACTCTCACCCTCTTTAGTTGTTTGTACCCAGGTATCACGGGACTAAAAAAAGAACTTCTGCCCAGAGCAGTCGAAGTCAAGTGCCCAAGGAATACCTTTTTACTTAATATGGTCACATCTGCTGCAGAGTAAAATTGAGTTAAATATTTGTAGGAGACCCATGTTTAAAACCCAGTGTCACTATTCAGTAGCCCCTGAGAGTATCATTTAACCACTCAAAACCTCTGGGTTTGGGATTTCCTTTTTAGCTGCTCAAAAGTGACAGTATCTATCAATTTTTTTGTGACAACCTAATGAAAAAAGGCACTTTAAAGGCACCATGTAAGTTTTAGCATTTATAGTTATTTTATCAGCATAAGTATATGTTAACAGAGGTGAATATTGAAGTGTTTGTGGATGAAATAATATATCTTGGATTTGCTTTGAATCATAACAGCAAACAAATAAAACAAAGGAAAAGATTAATGACAGAATATTGAAGAAATATTGGTAATTAAAGCTGGGTGATGGGTACATGGGAATTCTATATACAATTCTTTTCTTTTTTAACAAATATTTTAATTTAAAAAATGCAAGTTGAGAGACATAGAGAAAGTGGTATTAGACATTCACAACCACTGGAGGATTGCTATTACATAAAACTCCAAACTCTATTGTACAATATTTATTTTTGCTATGATGATCAAAAGCCTATCCTTTTTCCTTGACACCAGGATTGCTAAGGTGACTTGATCTTTTCAATGGTTCGAAGTATCTCTAGGCTAAAATTGACTTAGGTTAATCAAATTATTTTGATAATCCATTGTGTTAAGCAATGGAATTCCTAGTGGTAAAACTATAATCAACATGTTATGGCTGTTTTATGATGAGAGATCCTACTCAATTAGGAAATTTTCCTAATCAAAGGCCCTCCACTCTCAAGAGAGCTTCACTGAATAGCTTCAGAGGTTGCTTAATTAGTAAGGTTAAAACAGCCTTCAGAAACAAGGTCAAGAATGACATTTCTATCACGCTAAATTGATGAAAGAATCCACCAAATGCAGCACTCAGAAATCTTGGTGTGAAAATTCCTGTAAGACTTATCCACAAAAAGAAAAGGAAAATATACTGATCTTAATGATATCAATAGATTTTTCTTTAGGCACATTCTAAGTATTGAATTTACATAAGCATTTCTTTAAACTTTCCATGAAGTGACCAACTTTTTGCTTAAGAAAACTCTTTCCCCAAATTTATTATTCTTGTTTGAAGAAATAAAATTCCTTAAAAAGAAATCCATGAACCATAACTATATGCCAATCAGCAGGGGAAATTAAGAAAGAAGCAATCCTCTGAGAAGCAGTCTTCTTTTCATGGTATCTGCAAAGCCACTGAAAGATATTGTAAGAAACATTGGGTGAGTCTGTGCAATAAAAAATAAGCAATATAAGAAACCCTTTAATCAATATGATATATGCAATGACAGAACACTTGATAATCAACGTGTCTGCTAAAGGAAAGGAGAGAGAGTGCATCACCTTGCCTTCAGAGAGACCCTGAAGCAAATACTTTCCCACACCCTTCACACGCAGAGACTATTCATTCTCTCCCTGTCACGTAGCTCAACATCAGGACGTGGAATATTTGCCCTCAGTACTCCCCATCATCACTTGCCAACAATTATTACCTCCCTTCACATCATGCATGAAAGCTTCTCCCCTTCCTCTTAGCTGTCACTTACCACCCTTCCAATTACATATGAACTTCCCTTGTCCTTCAATCACCACCATTCATGAAAACCTTTGGCACATGGTCACAGTCTTCCTCTCCATCTCAAGTCCTGCCAGTATCCTGAGTGATTTCCATAGCCAAGTCGTTGACTCTTGTGATCTAACACCTTGATCTTGGCTTCCTAATCACATCACTTATGACCTTCTCTGAGCCTCATCATCCACACACTCCATGGCTTTAGACTTTGTCATACTCTGGAATCACTAATTAGGGCATCTTTTATTTAGACCCCAACTTCTTTTCCTTCCAACTTAAACTAATTTTCTAACTACTCCCACTCTGCCCATTCATCTGCTTCACCAGGGCCTCCAAACAACTGTCTTCTTCACTTTCATTCCTACTATCAGCCTTCTAATTTCTCCACTTTATTCTTTTATTCCTCAAGGGCCAAGTTTATTTATATATGAAATGTGTTTAACACAGCTATGATGGATGTAGCACACAACACCTAACAGCAGCAAGACCTTTGGAGGAACCAAATGTTGTTTATAGAATATCATGCAAATATCTATCTATATATATATATATATACAAAATATTCATTTTATTCTCTTACTTCTCAAATTCCATGATCCACCAGTTGGCCAGTGAAAATCTAGCCAGTATCCCAAGGTCCTGTCTCTCTTGTATGGCATAATCAGAACCACATAAACACTGGCCATGTCCATTGACCTTGTACTGGAGCAAGTCACACAATATATCATACTTACATTTTAAAAAAACAGTCAGCAACCTATTACATTTGTTTGGCAGATGCACTGCATTCTCGAAAGCAGTAATTTCAAATTTATGTCACTCTTCTTTAGACATGCCCTTACAGTTTCAGCTTCCCCTTTCCTCACAGTCGATGACCTCACCTCCTACTTCATGCTCAACACTCCACTACCATATCCTTCCACATATTTTTTTCATCTCTCTCCACTCCTGTTACATTAAGCATTTCTCAACTAGTTGACCATTTCTCTTCTTTTCAAAAGTCAATTCCTAATCTTTGGGTGCCACCATCTCCAGCCTTTTCCAGAACCATACACTATCATCTATGCTTGTTTCATCTTATATATCCAATCATTCTGTCTCCAGTGGATCCTTCCCACTGGAATTTGAACATGTTCAAGTCTTGTCAATGAAAAATCAAAAGACTCCTTTGACCTCCCAATCCTAACCAAGTCATCACTTTATCTCCATTTCTCGTCCTCTGAACAAAACCTCTATTTTCTATCTCCATTTTCTTATTTCTCATTAATTCATCATTTCATGCTAGTCTGGGTTTTCCACTCTGTCATTCCACCAAAATAACACTCATGAAGGTCACTAATGATTGCTAGTAACTAAATCCAACAGACACATTTAAATCCTCACTTCACATACTTTAAGCAGGACTGGACACTATTAACCATTGCCTATTTCTTAAAATATTCTATTATTTTCATTTCTTTAAAACACACACACACACACACACACATTCTTCTGGTTTTCCTCCTATCTCGTTGTCTCTTCCTTCTCAGTCTCTTTTGCAGACACAGCTTCCTCTATCTGATCATTGACTAGTGGAGTTCCATAAGGCTAAGAGCAAGATTCCCTTCTCCTCTCACACTACAATCTATCTCTAGATGTCAACCATGGCCATAGCTTCTCAGACTTACATCTCCAGACACAGCCTCCTCTGATCTCCAGAATCTTATATTCTAATACCTAAACAACAGCTCCACTTATGTAACCCAAATCACTTCAAACTCAGAACAGCCAAGAACACACTCAAATATTTCCTTCCCAAATAACATTCCCTTCCAAGTTTTCTCTCAGTGAATGCTACCACCACTTATCTAATTGCATAAGGTAGACCTCTAGGATTCATCCTTGGTATCTTCTGTTCCTCATGTACTATTCCAGTTTCTCAGAAACTTCTATCCATTTTAATTCATAACTATCTAATTTCCCTCTGAATTTTCACTTCCACTGCCCCAACATCTCTGGTCTAAAAAAATATCAATAATGATTATAAGACGAGAGCCCTGCTACTCAAAGAATGTTTCACATTCTTTGTGAAACGAGCAACATCAGCACTATGAGGGAACTTGCCAGATATGCAGATTCTCAGGCCACACCCCAATCCAACTGAATCATAATCTGTACTTTAACAAGACCTCCAGGTAATTCATATGCACATAAAACCTGAGAAGCACAGGACTAAAGGACATTAGAAACTTTCCCACAATTCTATGGGCCAATAATATTACAAATCCAAATTAGTTTCTGCTGACCTGAAGATAAAGAGAAATAAGAGTGCTCACTCATTAAAACTACATTTAAACCTTTAAATTATCCAATGAGAAAGAGTACTCAGAGCTCATGCTTCAATTTGTTGATGTTGTTTGTAACTAAGAGTTCTTGGGTTGCAATTTCTGTGTTTGTGGTTTAACTCCAAATGGAAGGAGGGTGGAGGTTGTATTCTCCTGCATCTTCTTGTGACCCTGTCTAGCACTACAAACACCAAAGGGACCAACAAATTCCTGCTATTTAAGCAAGTAAGATCTTCAGGAACAATGACATCAATGAACTAGGATATTTATATAAAAAATCTGTGTGCTCAAAAACACAGATTAATATCAAGAACTTATTGAGTGAAAGAAGCCAAACACACATACACACTGCTCTATAATCTCATTTAAATGAAGTTCAAGAAAAGGTAAAACTAAGCTATGGTGATAGAAGAGAGAAGAGTGGTTTCTTTCAGGGGAAAAGAGAAGATTATGACTAAAGAGGAACATGAGGGGACTTTCTGGAATGATGGAAATATTCTATATCTTGATATGAGTATTTTAAGCTTTGGAGAACATAGTGTCTGTAAACAAATGGGTGTGGGTGTATTCCGATGCAATTTTATTTACAAAACCAAGACAGCCCAAGGGTCAGAGTTCTCCAACCTATCTCTAGCTTAGGCTACGGTTTGTTAAAACAGAAATTTCAAAATAATAAGCTAAAATACAATAGTGTCCCCTTTTATAAAAATTATATTTCACATATGAATGTTATTTATTTATTTTTGTTTTTTCTTTCTTATTGAAGTATAATTTATATGGAGTAAACTGAACAAAGCTTAAGTGTAAAACTCAATGAACTTCTGTATATGTATACACCTATGTAACCACTATCTATATTTACCATCCAGTGCTTTTCAGAAAAAAATTCACCAACCCCTCACCTAGGACAATAGTTCATAACATTTCTAGGCATTCATAACTGTCTTAGAGAATTCAGTGAAATCTATAAATTATCTCTACAAGAAAACACACAGCTTCTTAAATATTGGGTTGTCGGAAAAGTCATGACACATTTTTGCAACAAAAAACATAGAGAAAAATACGTCATGACTTTTCCAACAACCCAATTAAAAGGTTATTTAAAATTTCTGGAAGCGCAAATACCCTCTGAAGCATAGTCATCAACCCAAACATAAGACCTCCTGTTTGAGATTTTCATCACAAATTACTAAACCACTCTACTGAAAACAATCCACAGGTTGGCTTTTTTCATTAAATCACAAAAGATTGAACTTCCATCTCACATTCTTATTTGCTCCATGGAACTTCTCATGGTCATAGGCAATAACGAAGTTGACCAGATCACAATATCTAATTCAGTATCACTCAACTTATTTTGCTCTCCCTCTAAGTGATAGCCTATATACCACTTCACCTTGAAAAGTCTTTCTGAAAATATATATAGTTTGGTACCAAGGTAGACCAAGAACACCAAGAAGACATGAACTGGCATTTCTTGCTTCAGTGCTAGAAAAAAGCACAAAGCAATAGCTTACAGACAGGGGAGTAAGCAGTGTCACATTCACATATGAAGAATATCAGCACATTTATTCAACATACCAAGAATACAGAGGAAGTACAAACATATGGACCAAACAATGGAGTGTATGTGGATACTGTGAACTCTTTCATAGCAGGGCCCTGCCTGTGAATCTGTTTAGTCCCTGCAGCGCCTTGCATGTTGTAGGAAACTAGTAAGCAATAAAGAAATGGATAAATTAAACCAATTTATAAAACAAAAGTCATTATCTTATAAATGGTTTAGGCTTCCTGGGAGCAACATGATAGTTTGGTTTATTTTGCATTATATAAAAAGACAATAATGAGTAGGGAACGCTCCCTGTGTTTCTGTAATTCTGATTTAATATTAATGTACTCATACAACATATATCAAAGGTCTAGTTGGTAGGAGGTTTGCCAACATATTAGCACCATTTATTGTCCTGAAAGGAAGCACTCAGAAGATGAAGACATGGCATGTTTGACCAATTCCTGAATAATAAAAAAAAGTCTTCACACAAAACAAAGACGCTCCAGTAAGTATGGTCTCAGATCTAATGCCAATTCTACAATTTTTCATTATTGCCCTCCTCACTGTTGTAAGAACAGTGGGTGGCATCCTACAAAAGCTGATTAATGCTGGGATTTCAAATTGCTGAAAATTGAAGGCATGTGCCCCAAGCTGACAATTTGTTAATCAAAAATTGTAATTTCTACTACCATGCAAGCTTTAGCTCATCTTATTTTCTTCCCAAATGCAATGTTCTATGCTCTCCTTTCAATGACATTGAATGCTTTTTTCCTAACAGTAAAAAGGTGTCGCCATGGGTTCATCAAGAAGCTAGATATCTGAAATTCCAATGAATTGACTTCCAAAGTAGAAGAAACATATTTCTGTCTATATTTGCTACATTTCATATTAATTTGATAAGAATCCACAGATCTGTGCTGACATTGAAGTTTATCAAAAAATCATGTTATTCCTCACACAGATCCTGCAAATGCAAAAAGTATTCTTGCTTTAAAAGTTGATTGATGAGTTACCAATTTATGTTGTCTCATCCCTTCCCCTTCTCCTTCATCCCCACCCCCGTCCCAACTAGCAATCATCAGTTTTTCCTCTGTGTCTCTGAGACTATTTCTGTTTACATTATTTATTTATTCAGTTCTTTAGATTCCACATATAAGTGAGATCATATGGTATTTGTCTTTCTCTGACTAACTTATTTCATTTAGCATAATGTTCTCTAGGTCCATCCATATCGTTGCAAATGGTACTGTTTCCTTCTTCTTTATAGCTGAATAATACTCTATTGTGTAAATGTACCACAGTTTCTTAATCCGGTCATCTACCGATGGGCATTTTGATTGTTTCCAAGTCTTGGCTATTGTAAATAGTGCCGCAGTGAACATAGGGGTGCATACAATTTTCAAATTAATGTCTTGAGTTTTTCTGGATAAATACTGAAGAGTGGAATTGCTGGGTCATAAGGTAGTTCCATTTCGAGTTTTTTGAGATACCTCCATACTGATTTCCATAGTGGCTGCACCAATCTGCAGTCCCACCAACAGTGCACCAGGGTGCCCTTTTCCCCACAACCTCACCAGCACTTGTTGTTTGTTGATTTATTGATGATAGCCATTCTGACTGGGGTAAGGCGGTATCTCATTGTGGTTTTTATTTGCATTTCCCTAATGATTAGTGAGGTTGAACATTTTTTCATATGCCTGTTGGCCACCTGTATGTCCTCTTTAGAGAAAGGTCTCTTTGGGGAATAATCAATAATGTTGTAAGTATTTTTTAGGGGGCCAGATGGAATCATGTCTTGTTAGGGGGACCTAACATGGACAGTGTAGAGGCCTGACCACTGCACTGTACATCTGAAGCTGCTGTTGAATAATATTATATGTCAACTATAATTTAATACATATATAGTCATGGGATGTGGAGTATAGTGTGGGAATGGAGTCAATGGAATTGTAACAGATATGTATGATATCAGGGGTGGGGGGGCAGTGGATGGGGGAGAGGGGTTGTCACTTTGTGTGGGGTGAAAAAAGATAACTATTGCATTGTTTTGTACACCTGAAACTAATAATAATAATAAAATAAAAGTTAGTTAATGTAAAAAGATTATCTTTATAGAGCTACTGGGGAACAAATTGTGTGCTACAGGAATTTAGAGAGGGGGATCATCAATGTAGACTACAATAAAATAAAGTAGCATGTATTGAGTACATACTAAGCACTAGTCACTAAGGTTTTCAATACACATTATCTCTTAATTTTCACCAATAGCACTCCCTGATAATCATTAGACCCCACACTATTAAATAAGGTAACTGGGGCTCAGAAACTACATAACTTCCTCAAATTCATATAAATAATCATCTATATGATTCCTACTTTTCCCCTTGCTACTCAAAGAAGTTTTCAAAGAGGAGTAAGAATTTCAAGGAGGAAAAAGTGAGTAATATGTTAATGGGTAAAAGGATAGGTAATCTGTAAACAAATTATAATTTATCCAATACTTCCTCCTCTTAACAAGTTGACAAATTATTTGGATCAGTGCAGTAGAATATTTTTCTGAGATATCAGAAATAACCACAGTCTTAAGCAAATATCTAGATTCTCTCAGTTACTCTTTGCAAAAACACAAAACTGATTCCTGTGCTTCATGGTTTATAAACTAATAAGGAAGAGAATTGATTGGAAGATGTTTCAAACAGATTCTTGAGAATACATCAAACTCCCAGTTCACGCTGGGGTCATCATGCCACCACATTTTTAACACATCATCACATCTAATGTACTATTCAATTAGACTTTCCCATGCTGATGGCATTGGGAAATTTTCTTTAAAAACAAATAAAACAAAATGTTGAAGAGAAGGCAGCAGCCTCTCTCTATAGGGAATGATCAAGATAAAAGTTCTGTTTGCCAAGGAGTTGTTTATGTACAACCTACACCTCAGCCTTCACACTGGGCAAAACTCACTTGCTTCTTTGGAATGTCCACAAATCAGAAGCAGATTCATATTAGAGGAATAAAAATCTGTTGCCCTCTGAATCATTTCTCCTCTGAAATATGGAAAGAAACCCATACTGCTGTTCATGAAGCTGTTTTCTAAACGTTTTCCGCAGGGTGGGGGAGCAGCAGCTGCTGGCCTGAGAGACCAGACACCCATCTCTAAAGCCACCTTCTCTGAGGACTCCTCACATCTTCGCTTGGTGAGCCTTCAGTTTACAGAACTCAAACCCCATCAGTCCCTTTAGAATCCTGTAAGTCTCGGGCATCTTTGTGCAGGTGCCATCTGCTACTGGTCATCTTACCAGAGTGGCTAGATAGTTCCTTCCCTAGTGCGCGGGCGGATGACAGCTACTGAAAATATAGTCACTTGGTGATCCTTCCAGAATAGTGGTGCAAATGCATGGTATTAACTCTTTCTGCCCAAGACAATGGAAATCAAATCACAAGGGGGAAAGTCTCTAGTTATTTGTGATTAGCTTTGAGGTTCTGAACAAGAGGGGAGAGAAAAAGTTTTCAAGATGTTTTCTTGAGCTGTGCTATAACACAAAGAACACTATGCTTGAAACTGGGAGGTCTAGCTTCTGCAACTTACTGTGTGCCAGTTAGCAGGTCACTCACTATCTCTGGACCTCAGGTTGCTCAACTGGCAAATGCCTACCCCAGTGAGTGCTTGTGGAAACACCAAATAATGCAATACAAATAAGACAGCAGCATGCATTCTGTAGGCTGATAGGTGATACATAAATGTAAGGTACATGTAAATGAGAAATTTATCATTATTACCTGTTTCCATGCTTTTTAACTAAGGCTTTAATGGCTTTGTCTGTAATCTGGCATCCATTAATGGAGAGTCCATGAAGACTGAAAGTTTACCAAAAAAAAATTTAAAAATTACATCTTAACAATGTCTTTGTTTAAAAAGATTTCATAACAAAAGTTTTCAGTTCATTAGTTATTCAGATAGCCCCACAAATACCTAAAGAGGAACTTTCAAGGCAATATATCAATATATGTAAATATATCATACCAATTAATATACATGTATGTATATACATTGATATATACATATATATATATATATATATACACACAATATACTCATATACATACCAATATATGCGAATGGTTTTGTGAATTGTTTATGTGGATCTTTAGGGTACAGAATCCATTGCTTACATCTAATTCTCAAAGATTTTATTACTCATAATATTTTCAGCACTTCTCAAGACTGGAGGTCTGTGGCCCATGGGCCAAATGTGGTCTGTCACCTGATTTTGTAAACAAAGTTTTACTGGAACATGGCTATGTTCATTAACTTACATATTGTCTATGGCGTCTACAAAGGCAGAGTTGAGTAGCTATGACACACTGCATGGCCCGCAGAGCCTAACATGTAAACTACCTGGCACTTAGGAGATAAATTGTTCTGACCCTCACTCTGAATCCTGCTCCATCTAGAAACCTGGCACTCCTGGTTGTGAACTGAGACTTACAGGACTGACTCTACAGAAATCATGGCTGCATTAGGAACAAACATTAAATCCAGAAAAAGATACCCTGACTGTTTTCTTTTTGCAGGAAACAGATATAAGGCAGAGGGTGATCATACTCAATCCCACTGTCTACATTCCAATACAGACTCTACTGCTTCCTAGGTTTGTAAAGCTAGGCAAGTTTCCTAACCTCATTCTGCCTACATTTCTTCCTCAGCAAAATGAGGAAAAATAATCAGAATACCTACCTCATAGAGATGTCCTGGTGATTAAAATAATGCAGATATAGCACTTAGAACAGTGGCTTGAATATTGTAAGAACAAGAAGGGTTATTTTAAAAATTGTATTATAAATGAATTAATTGGGGAAATGGCAGACTGATTTTTGGTTTGTTACCTTGAAGCACCTTGTATAAGGGCCATCATTCCCACATCTGTGGCCCCGGACCAACTTATGTCCACGGCTGTCAATTTGCTGCAAAGCGCCCCTGCGTGGAGCAGGACTTTGTCTCCTGTAAGCCCAGGACCACTGCAGCTTGTCACATTCAGTTCCTGGTGATTAAAACCAAGTGAACATTCATTAGACACGCTTCAGAATCCCTTCAGAACAGGGCATGATCAGGAGATTTTAGTAACTAAGAGAGAGGGTTAGGAAGTAAGAGACATCACCTCAGAAGCCAACAGCTGAGATGTAAACAGCTCAGCAAAGAAGGAAGAGAAACTTGACTAGAGCAATTAAAACTATTGGGTTGTCAGAAAAGTCAGGATGTGTTTTTTCTATGTTTTTCCTTACAAAAATGCATCATGACTTTTCCAACAACCCAATAGTAGGTTTCTGTTTCCGCCAGCCCGTCTTCCTTGAGGGCTGTTTACTGAATCTGCCACTCCTTCCTTCTGAGGGCAGGGAATTACACTAGGGGAGAAAAGTAATGCAAGAGCCATTGTAGGATTGTAGGAGCTCACCCCAAAAAACCAATGATTATGCAACCATTAAAAGTGAATTTTATAAAAACAAAAGGCTTAAGTGAAAATGATGACTAAAAGATGTTTTATATATTTTGTAATCTCCATAATGATCTTTAAACCTTGTTTTAAAATGCTCTTTAATAAATATGTATTAATTTTGTAGCCTAAAAAATGTTATTTGCCAGCAAGGCAAAACTAATTTATAGTGGAAAAACTCAGGACAGTGATGAGCTCTGGGGGATGGAGGTGTAGGGACTGAATGGGAGGTGCCCTGAGGTAATTTTCCGGGGTGGTGGTAATGTTCTGTAGCTGGGTAGGTGTATGCATTTGTAAAAACTCCATAAACGGTACACTTAGAATTTATGTATTTCATCATATATACATTGTATCTCAAAAAGGAACTAACATGATATGCATGCTGAAGTGTTTAGGAGTGTAGTGTACCAGATGTCTAAAACTCACTTTGAAATTAATTTTAAAAAGAAGATGATGGGTAGATGCACAGATTGAGGAATGGACAGATAGATCTGGGATGACGTGAATAGACTATCACCTAATTGTCAAGCCAAGGTGGTGAGTATAGGTATTAACTGTACAATTGCTTCAATTTTTAAGTATTAGTTTACACTTGTCTTTAAAAAAAATGATGGAAACTCCAGCCAAGACCTAGGTCCGGCCTGGCCTTCAAGCCACACTGGAGCTTTATACCACAGCTGAGAGCTTGTCAGAACGGCATTCCCATACAGAGTGGCAGACATGAGAGAGGCTGGTTTGCCCGCGAATGGAAAAGTCAATTTGTAAAAACTGAGAATTCTAAGACAAACATTAAGATATAAGTGCTCTTTTTATTAAAAGGTTATTAATTTGAAATAAATATCTAGATCTGTTGGATATGTCCATCTATTATTGTTTTCTGAGCTACATGGGATTCACTGAACCCTTAGAATCTAGTCAGTTTGGGGCCTCATTCTCTGTAATAGGGGGCCTTGCTGATATCCCAGTCTGCACTTGCTTTTACCGTCCCCTCACATGCATAACAGCAACCACTTCTACTTGATGTAAAAATGAACAGAGAAATCAATCCTCCTAGGCAAGAAGCTTATCCTTTCAGACAATAGGAATTTTCTACCAGCCAAATTGGGATGTTTTGAGAGAATAAGTTAACTGAATCATCTGCAATCATAATGACCTTGAATTAGCTTCCCATGTCTCTTGATCTCCCACTCCCATCCCTGCTTCAACGGGCTAAAGGCCGAAGTTGGTGCGTTCCACCTCCAGACTCACTTTCCCTGGGAAGATTCCCAGTGGCTGCCTGCTGCCCTGGATGGCAGCTCTCAGCCTTCTCAAATTCAAATAACTAACACTGGCAGACATTCCCTGTTCACTCAGAGCACCAAAGTGTCATGTACAATATTAATATTTAAAGGTAATAAAACTTCATTTTGTTATACTATATCATGCTTTTTTTTTTTTAATGACACCTGGGTGTATCCTGCGATTCCAAAGAAGCAGGCATGAATGCCCCGCCCTGCCTATTGTTTACAGAAAAGGGTTATAGCCCTTTTCGTGTGGCGAGCCTATGTAAAGCCTATGAACCTGTGTCAGAATAATGTTTGTAAATGAATAAAATACAATATACAGAATTGCAAAGGAAGCCAATTATATTGAAATACAGTTATCAACGTTTAAAAAATTTTGTAACATAGTAACATATTTCCTGCTTTATTAACATAGTATATAATATGATCTAATTGCTGGTGCAGCAACTGCCATAGTTTTGAAGTAGTGATAGGTATAAGCTACATTTTGAGATTCTGCAACAACCATAATGTGAAATGAAAGCAAGTATGCTTTCTATTGGTGACCAAGTCACAGGTATTGGTAACACTAAATGATTGGCTGTGAATAGCCAGAGTAGAAGGAAATGCAGGCTAAAGGTGAAAATAAACACATAATTTTTTTTCTCCTTCCACGATCCCTGGCAGGAACAAACACGAAATGAGAGACTGAAACAAGAAAGAAAGCTTCAGAGCTCCTGGCTGAGAGTTTATCTATCCTGCTGTTAGGACAAGCTGGGGAAGGAAAAGTGGAGGGGAAAAGAGAAAGAA